GAAATCGGCCAGGCGGCAGTGCATGATTGCATTACAGTGAACCCAGCTAAGTGAATATTTGACACAGGATAAATCTCTTAATAAAATTACTGCACTCCAGTCCCCAACACACTCTGCATATGTAATAAAACTCTTTAAAATGACTTGCTGATAAGGAAACGAACCTTTTCGCTGAATGAATAAACACACATGCATGCACTTGCACACACAAATACCAAATGGTAAAACATACTCCTAGTGATTATCAGAGTGTTAAAATAATAACCCTATGAAAGAAATAAATCTGCCCTGCAGCAAATTATGTCTCTGCTATACTTATGTTGAAACCTTCTCTGAACACCTGATAAAGGAATAAACTTGTTAAAGGAATAAATTGGCCACACACTAAGGTTATCCTTAGATTTACACTGGACTGCAATGATAAACCTCCTTTTTCATTAGTCCAATAGATCATAGGATTTACAGTACTTACAAATGTTTCTGCATTAAATGTAAGCAAGCCTGCTCTGGTGTCTGCCTGCATTTGGGGCCAAGCAGGGTCGATAACAAGACTGAATATTGCTTCACAAAATATCTTTCAGGAAACGTTAGCAGAATAACTGATTAAGAAATGGGTTCATCCTAAAAGAGCTCCTATCAACTCCACCTTTCAGAGGATGTTTGCAGCTCAGAGTCTCTGAATACTGAACTTGGGTTATGTGGATTTGCAAGCTTTCATCTATATTAGATTACTTACATAAATTAACATTTTAGCTAATAAAACACTGCACATTGAAAGCATTATTACAGTTGGTGGACAACAAAATGATTTAAATAAAGTTAAATTTTAAAAATGTAGTAGAACCACCAAGAACTAGGAAGCTAGGTTAAACAGAAGCTCTCTGAAGCTTTAGGTGCTCTTACTGCCTATTATTTATTACAGGGAAACCTGCTGAATCCTAATCCATCTAAAACACAGAGGTGTGTTTTTCATCTTAAGAACAGACGAGCACCTTGAACTCTGAGGATTACCTGGGAAGGAATCCCATTGGTGCATTGCAGCACACCCAAATACCTGGAGTTACCCTGGACCATGCTCTGACTTACAAGAAGCACTGCTTGAATATCAAGCAACAATATCATATGAAAGTTGATTGGCACAACCTGAGGATCACAACCAGATACAGTGAAGACATCTGTCCTTGCGCCTTGCTACTCTGCTGCTGAGTATGCATGCCCAATGTGGAACACATCTCACCATGCTAAAACAGTGGCTGTGGCTCTTAATGAGACATGGCACATTATCACGGAATGTCTGCGCCCTACACCACTGGAGAAATTACATTGTTTCGCTGGTATTGCACCACCTGACATCCACCAGGAAGTAACAGCCAATAATGAAAGGACCAAGGCCGTGACATCTATGGGCCATTATCTGTTCTGATAGCAACCAGCATGTCAATGCCTTAAATCAAGAAATAATTTTCTAAGATCCAGAGAGATACTCACAGGAACACCTCAGCAAGTGAGAGTCCAAAAGTGGCAGGCTAAAACCCAAACCTCAATCCATGGCTGATACCAAATGAGAGACTCCCCCCTGGGCACACAGAAGACTGGGTGACTTGGAAAGCACTGAAGAGACTGTGCTCTGGCACCACAAGATGCAGAGCCAATCTTAAGACTGGATCTGCACGCATCATTCGAAAATACATCATGCAATCCTAAACACTTGGGAAGTGTTCAACTTGTGATATGAAATCCAGCATATATATCTCGTTTGCTGTGTTTTTGTGTCAGTAAAATAATAAGGAGGAGGAGGAGGAGAAATTATTTCTAATCTGTCCTCTCTCCCCAGAGAGACTCGGAGTAGTTTCCAAATGCAAAGGCAAATATACACTCCTAAAAACACAGCACAATAAAATAACAAATAAACCATAGTTTAAAAGCATATATAAAATAGACTCTTCCCTTGATATGATGATGGAAAATCTAGACAGCCACACCATAGAGTCTATGGGGAGGATAAATGATCAGGCCTCATAAAGTGCAATGGCAATAAGTACTGTTTAAGTATTAAATCTAGGAATATAAAATATAAGTGTAAAAGTGGTTCTGTGAGTGTGTAAACCCTTGACAGGACATCGGTAGGGAAGGATGGGCTTTCATTACTCATCAACCTCCATAAGCTATTGAGTATAGATGAGTTTTCAGGTGTTTTTTAAAGGAGGAGGAGGGATGGTTCTAACTTTGATGGGGAGGGAGTTCAAGAGAGAAGAAGTGACCACAGAGAAGGCTCTCTCTCTTGTGCCTACCAGCCGCGTGTCG